CATGTGACAAAAATGTTTATTCCTGCTCCTAACCATGGAATATGTACATTGACTTTAATTACCAAACTCCGGGCTATTATCAAACACCCGTTAAAACAGGCAATTTTTGCCTGCAAATTCAGTAACCATTTGAACCATATATTCAGCTCAACATTTAGATAGAAAAATAAAGATTCAAAAAGGATGCCCTATGGATACGACTGTTATGATTGTAACGGACTTGTTTCGTGTTAAAAAGAGGAAAGACGTATACTCTCAAAAAAGATTTCAGTTAAAAACCTTTTGGCTGTGATTCATCATTTTTCCGTCAAAATAAAAAGAAAAATAAACCGTGGTACGTGTACGAAGAGACACTTAAACTTAAAAAATAAAAATTAATAAAAAATAAATTCTTAAAAGAATTATGAGAATAATTGCGTTTCTACGGTTTTTCTACTTTATTTTGATCTAGTTAACGTGTCTCCTGTCTATATTTTAATATTTTTTAAAAGTATCACGTTAATTTGCGCTCATATCGCGATAGACTGGAGATTACGTTAAAACACTGTAAAAAATCAGTGTGTCTTCTCGCCATATTCATCTGTATCGTGATTACCAGTAGGATATCGCGAAAACTGATACATATCGCGATGCATCTCGATAAAAAGGCATTACGATTTATCTAACTACTTCTTCTATTCGGATATTTCTGCAATTTAACGCGATATGAATCATTATCGCGATGTTGATCGATAAATATTTATGGCGTCCGAATAAAACATTGTTTTGCATCGTAATAAATCATCGAAATAACGCAGTAATAACTTACATCACGATCTATCGGACCCGTCTAATAGATCACGACGTAGAATTTATCGTGGTAAACAATGACGATATTGCGATAGGTATCATTATCAACGCCTTTATGACGATATATCGGCCATTGTTCGGTTTAAAAATTCTCATGAGTAATGTATCGCGGTGATGTCATTTGTGAAAATATCGTTTTATTGACATTACACGTGATCTTCTTCCATCTTCTCCATCAATTCGTTTTTTTGGTTGAGTTTATTATACCTCCGTTCACTCTTTGTATCATAGTACAAATGAAATGTTTTAGTAAGGCTGAAAAGGTATGCTAGGAGGTGCGAGAAAACAAAAACAAATTAAATACACAGTAACACAACAAGAATAAAGATTGAAACCTAAATGCGCAAGTAGAAAAACAAAATGATAATTGTTCATTGTTTTTTATCTCCTCCATTGCTTAGTGGAAGAACGACGTCATTACACCACTACTCAGTGGTCTTACACTTTCACGACAATCTCCGATACTAGCTTGATGACGCGATAGTACACAAATGCCATAATAATGGACACAAGCAGCAGCCACGACAAATACATGAAAGATTTGATGACTTTGAAACTAATAGAGAGATTTCGGAAATGTATAGATTGAGAGAGAGAGAGTTCATTTCTTACCCATATATCGAAGTAACCTGGAGCCAATCGTTCAGGTATTCGCGCTATTTGAAGAAAATCGAGATATGAGAAAATAAAACATATCGCTTTTTTTTTCGTTTACCAGCATAGAGAGAAGCACCGGTAATATAAAGAACGGCCATTAGTGCCAACCATTGAGCAGCACCAGCTGAAATATTTAAATGAAGTGAAAGATGATAAAAAATGATGTCTGATTTTCTATTGAACTATCCGACATACTTGTAAAAGCATGTTTAAAACCGAATAGCAATGTATAGTGTATTGTTGGAATAAAACCGAAAAGGCCAAATGCAATGAAGAGAACTGTAAACACAAAACATAAAATTAAAGATTTAACCCTTTGCCCCCGGTTTACTCTCAGTTCGTCCCATGAAACTCTTTTTCTCAGTTCGTCCCATCAACACGGCTCTCGCAATTCGTCCCATATCAGTTTACACTTAATTAGCTTTAATATAATTGTCCGTACCTGTTGCGTACGGTGATAAATATGTATATATAATAAATAATAACAATATCATCGAGAATTTTAGCGGTATCTGGTTTGGATGTGTGTGCTGATTCATTTCGTAAAATTCTCACATCGTCTGTAGACAATGATATTGTACCTGAACATGTTCGATCCCGACACCACCATTGATTATTTGTTTTGTTTGCTAGTTTCATGATGTATTGATACCCATTATGATTCAAAACAGGTTCGTCTTTTTCAGTAGACATGAAAATTAACATTCTGATGAACAAGACAGTTTATCTTATTTAGATTTAAATTCCTGATAGTAGGAGCTAACACGGCACATTTTGCCACGTACGGGCATCTAGTATTGTCTACAATACCCACTGTCGCTGTCTAAACTATTCGATGGTACAACACTTTATGTATTTTGAGGCGCGTAGATATCTGGGACGAATTAAGAAAAAAAGCTTCATGGGAGAATCGAGAAGTCAATTTGGGACGAACCGAGAGGACATCTTACCCCCTAATGGATCATATCTCGCCCATTCGAAAACACTCATAATAAAAGTGAAGAAACATCAGATCAAAAGACTAATCAAACATAATGTATGCAGAATTTAGTAAACTATCCATTCGTAAAAATATTAAGTAAATCCTTTTGAAAACATGAAAAATAGAAGTTCCACAGCAGTTTTACTTGATTGCTGTTCAATTCTCCTAAGGGGTAAAGGGTTAAAATTTGATATCAAACGTACGAGCTCGATATACACGATATGCAGGTGAGGCAAATTTATCCCACATTGAAACTATAATACATCCGGTGCCTAATAGTGTAGTGACTGATAAATAGGCTATTTGAGTTCCAAATTCACAGTAGAATGCATAGTAGATCCAAGGAATAAATGAGGAAATAATCAAGATCGATATTCCACAATAGTCGAGTCTAAAATCACTCATATTTTCAATAATGTAGAGAAACAAAGTAGGCGATTTCTTACTTGTTAAAAATGTATGCAAATTGTGGTGAATGACAAGAGAGTGTATGATATAACGTTGAAAAGAGTAAACAAATAATAGCACCAAGAAAAAAGGCACAAAATACAATTTTTCTCTCTATATGAATTTCACTGGCCGGTTGTGTAATATAATAAATAGTTATGCATATAAAAAATAATGCACCCAATAGATGAGTCCAAATATTAACTGTTTCAGTATGTAGACGAAAGATTGATGCAAAACATTGTTTAACACTTGGCATTGGTGGTCGATGTCCAGAAATTAAAAACTCATTATCCACCAACCAATGTGGAAGAAGAGCATGATCAACGACATATTCAACAACACGTTTACCAACTTCTTTGGCTTGTTCAGCACATTTTGTTGGCACTTCAAGAACTGAATCGACTAATTCAACGGTTTTATGGCGTAAATTTGTTTCGGACGAATCAGATTTACTTCTTAAAAATGTCGATTGTGTATCGATGTTACCAGAAGATGCGCGCTGGAATGAATATTAGCAGTAGATAATAGGATTAAACTTACTTTCGAAGAAATATTGAACAGAAAATTACAAATGAATTACGCAAAAAAGGGGTAGTTTCACTCAAAACGCTCTTATCTCTCTCTCTCGCTCTTTCTGATCAGACTAACGAGGACACATATCCAACTGTTAGCTGGCTTTTTCGACCAAACCCACTAGGTTATAGGTAATCAACCGCGTTGATTCTGAATATGAGCATGAGAGCTTCCACTAGGCCTTCAAAGATCTGTTTTTTTGGAAAAGCAGTTTTTCAGAAACTCTAAAAAAGAACCAAAACCTTTCTTAACAATGCATACTGCAGCGCGTACATTTCTGATTAAAATGAGAACTCTCCCAGCTCTATATGACCTTCCTTTGCAAAATTATAGAATTTACAAAGAAGCCCTAAATTAGATTTTCTTGTTTGTGTAGCATTGAGCTGACAATTAACATTTAGGGCTTATCTTGTAAATTCGATAACTTTGCAAAGGAAGGTCATGTAGAGCTGGGAGAGGTCTCATTTTAATCAGAAATGTACGCGCTCCAGTTGTGTATTGTTAAGAAAGGTTTTGGTTCTTTTTTAGAGTTTCTGAAAAACTGCTTTTCTAGAAAAACAGATCTCTGAAGACCTCGTGGAAGCTCTCATGTTCATATTCAGAATCAGCGCGGTCGATTACTTATAACCCAGTGGGTTTGGCCGAAAAAGCGAGGTAACAGTTGGATATGTTTCCTTGTAAGCTGTAATTTCCGGAGGAGGCAGAATAGAATTTAAAACTGTCATGATCTATGTTTGAGCTCAATTAGTTGTGCCGTTCGCGGAATATGAGAATGAGAGTGGCTTAAAAGTGAAGTCCGACATTAAGCTTTTTCGGTCACACTTTTGATATGATACAGAAGAAAAAGCAATTTTGGAAAGAAGAAAAGGCTCAGTCGAAAAGATTGACATCTGATATTCTCATATTTTATTGTTTTCAGTACTTGGCATTCAGTTTGACATGACACTGCGTAAACTCGCATCAACTGGCTGCTATAAAAGCCACATATCTCCCCAATAGAATTTGATAACGTTCTTGAACAGAAAAATATCACCTTTTTAATTGTACATATTATGGAGAGAAAAGAAAAGCCAACAGTTAGGAAAAGCAAAAACGTGTTTTTGATTCATAATTAGGCATGCAACGGTTATTTTATCGGGGCTCTCGGGAATAGTAGTTTCAAAAATCGGAGAAACTTTTCAATAATTTTTCGAGTCGTCCGTTTTGTGCAGAAATGTTTGCTCTACCAAATAAGACGCTGCAGGCTTTCGCACGGCCGTTCGTAGATGACATATGAGTTTTCTTTCTCTAACATAGGACCGGTTATAGCCCGCCGTTAAATAACCGATCTCTTTTTCAACAAAACGCTTTGTAGCTCATCTACGAACTACCGTGAGAAAGCCTGCAACGTCTTATTTGGTAGAGCAAACATTTCTGCACAAACCTGACGACTCGAGAAATTTTTGAAAAGCTTTTCCGATTTTTAAAAACTATCACTCCCGATAAAATAACCGTTGTATGCCTATTCATAATCAACTATACAGAGATGACTTGTCCAGCTAACAGCTTCCATGTTTTGCTCTTTTTCGAAAAGTTATTACAATAAAGCTACAAACTAATCTAAAATTGCAACTAGGTAATTGAGTAGATTAAACATTTCTCTATAAAATGAAAAGTGTCTGGGATCTGAACGTTGATTCGTTATGAAAATACAGCTGTTGTACAAACAGCTCCAAAAATCGATGTTGAGGCTATCTAAAAAGCGTGTCTAAAAGAGTGAAGACGAGCCGGCAAAAATTGAACAAGTATACCAGTTAGTCGAAAATTGTTTGCTCTACAAGATGTGATAGCTTGTCAAATTCGAAACTATTTTAATTAAGCTGTGACGGCGTGACACTTTTGACCATTTTTTGTCACGGCGTCACGGTTTTTCTTTGATTAATACAGATTGATTAGAATAGTTTCGAACTTGACAAGCGATCACATCTTGTAGAGCAAACAATAGCGTCAACATCGATTTTTGGGGCTGTTTGTACAACAGCGGTATTTTCATAACGAATCAACGTTCAGATCCCAGACACTTTTCATTTTATAGAGAAATATTTAATCTACTCAATTACCTAGTTGCAATTTTAGATTAGTTTGTAGCTTTATTGCAATAACTTTTCGAAAAACAGCAAAAAACGGAAGCCGTTAGCTAGACAAGCCGGACAGTTCTGGTGTAGAAACTGTTGTCTTTGGAAATACATTCGGTATGGCAGCGTTTGACATTTTACGCTTCCCAAATGCGATTTTGTTGAAAGACAAAATCTGTTTTTTTTCCCATCCGTGTGTCTTGCTTTGCAGCGAAATTATTCATAGAGACCATCAGGCGGTAATTCTCATCGATATCTGATCAAATCAACACTTTCACAAAGAAGATTTCTTTTAAAACACTACAAAACACTATTGAAATCTTCGTAGATTGTAAAAGCATGTATATGTATAGATACTAAAGGTCTGTGGGACTGTCCTGGTTCCGCAGGACTTTTAATGCGATCGGGACCAGGTTTTTTTGAAAATAGTCTAGTATGGAGTATAAAAATTTCTTAGTTTCTGTGCTTGTTTGTATGTAGACACCAGTTCTGCGAGAAAGAACTCATCGAAAAATCTAAAAGTCTTCGGTTAATACCACACACGCATGCTGTTCTACGAGCCACATACAACTCGCTGACTTTCAAACTATCAGCGCTACTTTAAAAAAATATTTACGGGACCACGGGATCGGAACCAAAAGTTTTTATCTTCACAGGACCGGGACCAAAAAAGAATTGATCTAAGAATGGATTTCGATTATCTTACGCGTGGTCGATCGTGTAATCGTCGTCGAATATCTTGCTTATTCGAATCACGATTACCACTAGACGGTTCATTTTCCATTATCGTTTGCGACTTGGATGATAAAAAGATTATCTGGAATAAATATGATACAAGTCAAAATTTTTTCCTTTTTTTATTATATTAACCCTTTGGCTACGGGAGTATCATATATGATACCTGACTGTTAGCGATGATATTTATGCAGGTATTCAGAAGTCTATTATTTCCCTTGTTCCCTCTATTATTGAAAATCTATCAAATGGTATAAAAAACTCTTCTTTCACTTACTGGGTATAACAGTTCTCAATGCATTTATATTGTCAAAAATGAGGACAAATCACACGATGCAATTAGTTGATTTTCGCCTACAACTAATTCGGGATATTATCCAAAAGTATGGTAGTCAACGAGTAGCAACGAGGGGTCGATCTTCATCAACAACTGCACCACTCAGGTTAACTGCAAGGCACTTCCTCTCGCCGATTCCAGCCACAGACACACAGTCAGCACCTAGGAGAAACTGTGTCGTCTGCAACAACACTGTCAGACGTCCGAAAAGACAAGCGANACAGAGTGTGATGTAGGCTTATGCCTTGTTGATTGTTTCAAAGATTTTCATACTCTACAAAACTTTTAAGAATAAATAAACATGTGTTTCAATATTTGAAACGTTTTGTGTAAAATTGTATCCGAAAAATTAAACCCGTAGCCAAAGGGTTAAAACACCATGTTGATGAGCAGAAATCTGGGCTAATGAATAAAATATTGTAGTGTAGAAGGTTAGTTTTTATTAGTTGTTTTTTGCTCATATTTTTATCACACTACAATAGCAGAAAAGTTTAAGCTTGTAAAAAAAAAACAGGGAGCAATACATGTGATTCAAAATAGAAAACAAAACAAAAATATTATGTACAAACAGTATCAAACAGATGAATAAAAAAAGTTACGGAAATGCATGGATAAAAATTATCGAACTGTCTATTAGAACTTTCTTCGTTATTAACTAAGTAAAGAGGCTATTGAGCCACTACGTGAAGATAAAATACCTGTTCGACAGTCACCAAGAAAACTGGCTTGATTTTGTGATAGAATGCAGATACCATAATAGTGAACACAGGCTGCAGCCACGACGAATACGTGAAAGATTTGATGGCTTTGAAACTAATAGAGAACGAATTATTGAAAAGGTACTAAAAATTTATTTCTTACCCAAATATCGAAGAAACCTGGAGCTAATCGTTCAGGTATGCGTGCTGCTCAAAGAAAAAAGAGAAATGAAAAACGAACAAATTACTTTTTTTATTCATTTACCAGCATAAAGACAAGCACCGGTAGCGTAAAGTGCGGCTACTAAGAACACCCATTGAGTAGCACCAGCTGAAAGAAGATTAGTTCAAACAGTTTTAGATTAATTCTTTCAGGATCTTTCAAGTAGCTAAAATGACGATCGTGCATAAAAAAGTCTCGGTCTGAACCTGGGGATATGGAATACTTTCCGTAAAAACCCAAAGGAAAACAGTGGATTCACTTATTTTTCTAGTAATTTGAAAACGATGATAGGTGTTAAACCTACCATTTTTGAATAGAGGAGCTGTTAAACTATGGAATCACGATGTGGTCAAGTTAATTGAATTGCACAAAATGATAATGATATATCTCACTTTTGTCACCCGTTTTCGGGTACAGCGATACGCAGAGGACACTACGAATACTCTGGTTTTACATAGAAGAGAATTACTTCTCACCTCACGTAATCGTAGATATGCTCAATTAGATCTAACTGATCGCAAGGTGTACTAATCATTTAATTAGTCTTAATTAGATTTAATTAACGTTAAATTTTTCTAAATTAGTACTATCTAGTCTAAATAGTCTTAATCAGATCTCGCTTGTCTTAATCAGTGCTAACTGACAACTGTTAGTATTAATTAGCACATAACTGGAATAATGAATATTAACTAACAAAGCTGGAAAATCATAGATTCCACTATCTCTAACTTATCCGGACATAGAAGATATGCCGTGTCTCCTCAAAATGACGAACTTCTGATTATTCAGAAATTCGCATCCATCTTCGCTTTGTTTCTATAAGATCGGATTTTCTACATGGAATTATTCAACATACTTGTAAAAGCATGTTTCAAACCAAATCGAAATATATAGTGACAAGTCGGAATGAAGCCAAATAATCCAAATGTAATAAAAAGAACTAAAAAATTAAAATCAAAATGAAGTTTTTTTTCTCATTTTTAAAGCAAAACCTACGAGCTCGATAGACACGATATTCCGATGCAGAAAACCTATCCCACATAGAAACAACTATACATCCAATACCCAATAAACCAATCAATGATAAATAAGCAATTTTAGTTCCAAATTCACAGTAAAATTGATAGTAAAGCAATGGAATAACTGATCCAACAATTAATATTGCTATTCCACAATAATCCAGTCTAAATATACCCAACAGACACTAATTAAAACAAGGAAAATATCTCTTTCCTTACTTGCTAAAAAATTTCGAAAGTTTCGGTGAATGGCAATATAATGTATGGTATAATGTTGAACAAAGTAGACAAATAATGGCACCAAGAAAAAAGGCACAAAATATAAGTTTTTTCTCTATATGAACTTCACTGGTTGGTCGTGTGATAAAATAAGCAGCCATGCACATAAAAACTAATGTACCCAATAGATGAGTCCAAATATTAACTGTTTCAGTATGTAGACGAAAGATTGATGCAAAACATTGTTTAACACTTGGCATTGGTGGTCGATGTCCAGAAATTAAAAACTCATTATCCACCAACCAATGTGGAAGATGACTGTGATCGACGACATATTCAACAACACGTTTACCAACTTCTCTGGCTTGCTCAACACATTTTGTTGGCATTTCAAAAACTGAATCGACTAATTCGTCGGTTTTATCACATAAATCACCATAAGAAAGATGAGGTTGACGGCGTGAACAAGTCGATTGTAAATTGACAATACCCGCAGATGCACTCTAGAACAAAGCATACTTTCCTAAACCAATTTCTTCCGGTAAATAGAAGGAAAAACCACATTTTTTCTAAGATTTAAATAAATACTTTCATGATTTCGTTTAGAATTCCATCTTGTACACACGATGTTAGATGAGCAGAAAATAGTTTCATATGAAAATTAGTAATATATATTTAGAGAGAAAAGAGGAAAAAAAGCAAGCATAGTGTATGGCATTTACCATTAACCAATTATTTTGTCATTATAAGTAAAACACACGCTGTGGCCAGCCACTGATTGCCATCAAATCAGAAGATTCGAACTCAAAATATAAAGAAAACTGAATCTGCTAGTTGAAAAAGCACTATCACTAGTCTATGTAACATATGTCGCAACCTCTCAAATACTCTTTTGTCGAGTGATAGAAGTGCCATCTATTCTTTCGATGAGCCCATCGGAAAAACTGACTGACTCCCCGCAGCTAAAGTCTATAATTTTTTTATTTATTATACTGTCTTTTTATTTGATAGTAATTCTTATGTGATTCTGATGCGATACTAAACGTGAAACAACCGTATGATTGAAAAGATTTTTATACTCACCGTGGATCAGAAAAAAGATGTATCTTTATCTCAATAAAATTCTCAGATACAAAGCCTTCTGAAGTTAAATGTCGAAAAAAGGATGAAATTCCGTAACGGACAATATTTTGTGAGTAATTCGGCTTTGACTCAACAGAAATGAATGAAATTTGGCTGATGATAGGTCTCGATAGTCTATATCTGTGATAAAAATTTAGAGCGTTTGCTTTTGTTATTACGAAGATATACTTCAAAGAATGGAAAAAAAAAACTGAAATTCTATACTGGTAGCCACGCCATACAGTAATGCAAATTGCGAGGTTTCCGAAGTCGTTATTAGAAAAAGACATTTTTCTAAATGGCCTGTTTTATAGCTCTCTCAATTCTCTACAAACTGATGTATTCATTCACAATGTGTTATGTTTGATAATAAGGATTTGATAACAGGAATGGAAAAAGTTAAACATACAGTGGGTCCAAAAAATTATTCGTCCACTTTTCTTTTTATTTTTCTCGTCGTCCACAGTAGCTAGAACAAATTCGAAAAAAGATTTGTACAGCTGAAAGAATTTCCAATCTAATGAGATACACATAAAACTCCTAAAACCAGGGTCTCTGGAAAATCTCAGAAAACCAAGTCCACTTGTTCAATCTGGAAATTCTTCTCAAATAACTTTGTCATATAGAGCAAACATTTCTGAACAAAATGAGACATGTTGTAGCTCTCTGTGACACGTTTTCATGGAATACCATTCGATTTACGAAAGGCCTAATAGTCGGCCTTTCGTTCGCCTCAATTTGGGCCAGATCAAATAAAACGAGCGGAATATCCATCGTGACAGAATTTCATGCTTCTAATGCAGAAGGTTATGCGTGCCATAAATTCGACACTCAGACGAACCTAGCCAACCTTCTTTGATTCTCTATCTCCGCGTGTCACTCTTTCATCATTCTAAGCAGTTTTTGTTAAGAAAATATAGCACCTGACGGCTAATAACAAAGGACGGATCCGTTTAAGGTAAAGAATCGGCCCACTTTTCTTTTTTGTTCAGAATGGTTCTATGTGAAGCAGAAAACCACAAACATTTGATTTTAATGCTTGAAGATTTTATACTAGTAAAAGTGTCTTTCTTAAAAAACACGATTTTCATCTTTCACTCTACTCATTTTAATGTTGTTAATCCGAAAAAAATTGTTGACTGAATTGTCGGAATTCGATTTAGTTTTAATTCTGATGAAGACTCAGATAATCATTCACGACGAATGTACAGATGCTGAAAAATAAATTGTCAATTCACTTGATTCAATTTCAGCATATACATTCGATATTTATTCGCGGGTTATAAAAAACTCTTTTCCTCTGTGCAATAATTCTCAAATTTAAAGTCATTTGTTCGTACATTTTCTCTATATTCTCTTGATCGAATTGATACAAGGGAAGAAAATTAGCTCTAAGCACAGAGGAATGTGAGCAGATCGAATGTATTCCTGTTTACAAACAGAATTATCTAAACCCCCGTCCACATTAGAAGCCCAGTGGGCTTCTATTATGTCCCGCAAGAAAGGCAAAATTTTCTCAAAAAGTACCCTATGGGGGCAGGGACAATTTTCAAAAAATTTCTTGCCAG